TGAGGGAAGAAAGGTTGCTGTCCGTGGAGATGATGTTGTCGGAAGTTGCCGAAATCGAAGTCGTCGAGAAGCTGTTGATGAAGATTGTCGCAAAACACTCTCAAGCAACGCGGTCTCTCTTGGAGAAAGAATGATACCATGTTGTTATGGTGTTTTAATCGCCAAATGAGGGAAGAAAGGTTGCTGTCCGTGGAGATGATGTTGTCGGAAGTTGCCGAAATCGAAGTCGTCGAGAAGCTGTTGATGAAGATTGTCGCAAAACACTCTCAAGCAACGCGGTCTCTCTTGGAGAAAGAATGATACCATGTTGTTATGGTGTTTTAATCGCCAAAGTACATTCATTTGCCAGCAACGGACATGTGTCCCCCCTACATGCACCCGCTCAAATAGAATTGACGGTCAGGACCACCAAGAATCCCAATTTAGCCGACTCACTGAGTCGATATCTTCTTAGATCGATTCGAAGGGTGGTACTTGTCGATCATCTTATCGAAGAAGACTCGCTACGAGCCCACTCGATTAGTTATTCAACACTTTGCAAGGTCGACTCGAAAGGCGTTCCTTCTCGACACCCCTTGCTATAAGCCAAAAGACAACTTCAATCTTGAGCTTATCCCACTGACAGCGTGTCGGCGTCATATTAAATGCTTGGCAAACGTCATCATTACTCTAGTCCAGATAGTCTTCATGACATATCGGACCACGTCGGCACCACCATACCTACAATCACTTCGTATTAAATACCGAGGTGACATTTTTTCCACTAGTCGACCGACACCTCTAAAGTTGGTGCTGACGTAGCCACCATTCTATACTCTTTTGTCGCCATCTTATGCTCAGCGGAGATTACCATTCTACCATTTTATCACCACTATAAATAGGGGTACTATTCCAAATACCAGGTCAGCAAGCAATATCTCAGAACTTTTCTCCATTGCACTATACTTTAGAACTCACTTAGTTCATCACTTTCCTACTCAAGTCCATCAACTGACGTGATCGTCAGAGGAACAATGGGGAAACTAGTCCTGTCCTCTTACGAGTTGCTATTTGTGCAGGCATAAGCTACTCAACTCAAAACTAGATATTTGGAGAAGTTAGCGGCCCTTAATCAACCTCACCGTCATTATATTATATGTTTGATTATTGACATCAACACAGGTTAAACAATAAAAATTTGCATATTCACATTAATAATTCAAAGGGTACAACTATTTCCCTTATACAGGGATATAATAGTAAAGTTGTTTGTGTGTAGGCAATATGGGACTAAACTCAGTTGATTAATCACAATTATTCTCCTAATCACATTCTCATTATCTCTCAATCACCTTATCTCTATTATATACTCCTACTATATCTTGTCTAATATCCTTAATTACTTCTAACATAGTGCATTCTAATCCAACTCACAAATTAAATTATACATCTAGGTAACTAAACATGCATAAATGTGTTTTGCATGTATAACTATTGGACAGTAAGTCCAGCACTTCAGATCAAATTATGTTAACTGAAGGTCAAAAAATGTTTCAGGTTTACCAAATTATCTGATGACTTTGTAATCCTAAGCTTTAGTTTAGGACATTACATTTGTACTCCGCACTAATAATTCTGACCATGCATTCAGCTCAAAAATATAAAGTACACATAATGGATTTTTAAGCAGCAGTACTGTAATCCCCATCAATTTCATTTCTGATTCGTATTCGACAGATGAAATCATTGGAAGCATGGCAAGTGATAGAGAAACAGCATGCATCTGCCCTTTCGACTACACAAAATTGCTTACAAGCAGCAGTTTGCAGGCTACCTCTTATTGATCGGGCAAAGGTACTTCCATACTTGACTACAGTGACGTATGCTTACCAATATTTTTGATTTTCTGTATTCTTTTTAAGTTACGTGTAATTTCATGTGCAGGCAGACCCTCAGCTTTTGGCCATTCGGCTTCGACAAGCAGCAAATCTAATTTCACTTATCGAGTCTGCATTAGGCATATACGCTTCAGTGGTATTGCTCTAGCATCATGTTTCGAATTTCCTCAAATTTTCTTTCGGCTTCTATGAACCTGTGTATGCCTTTTGCTTAATGCAGAGCTCAATGCACAATGCCCATTATTTTATAACTAAAAAAGAGTGAAAAGGAAAAGGAAACAAATAAGAAAGTTTTTAACATCTTCAATCCGTTATTATATAGCATATTTGTAGAACAGCTAGAGGTCAAGTAAATTCTCTATCTTTTATTAACAGGGGCAAAGTACAGTCCCATTACTTTATGAGCTCGCCCAAGTAGTTGCTGAGGAAAGAACATTATTGGAAGAGTGTGTTGAGATGCTGGGATTGATTTTTTCTCTACAGGTAAATAACTGATATTTTCTTTAGCTATCATTACAATTATTATAGGTTATACCCTGTCCTTACCGATATATCGTGATGTTTGATCTTACAACATTTAAATTTTGGCAGATTCAAGAGGAAAGCTTGGAGTGTCATCTATTTCAAATAAAATCATCACAGCTGCAGAGCAATACTTCACTGGAAGGAAAGTTCATTATTTCCAATTAGCCAGAAATGAAATAAAGGAAAAAAAAAGAAAAAAAAAGAAAACACAAGAACAAGAGAGAAACTTACAGGATGCCAGCGCTACCTGTGACTATAGATCCCGAGTGAACCTCACGTTTCCAGCGATGAGTTCAAAGCCCATTCAAGAAGCATAGCTTAAGATTTCAGTTGGGGTCCTTTTTTTTTGTTTCTTTCGAGGGGTTGATTTATTGTTGAAGCTTTTGTAATCANGTGGTAAGCAAGTAATATAAGCCTGAAAACAACATATAGCATAAAGTGCAGATCAAGTCACATATATACAGAAAGGACCAAAGAATGACAGAGAGAATTAATTGACATTAGATAGAAACAAACGAAAACGAGCTTTGAAATTGTTGGTTCTTGACAAAGGGCAGAATAATGTACTTCATCTGGTACATTTACTCTAAGTGTGCCCATGATAACTTGCTATTTTTATCCATTTTTATTCGTTATATCCAATGAAAAATAATTTTATGGAGTTTAAAATTCATGATTTTATGAACTATAACTCGCGTGTTTGGTCTAATTTTGTTGCTTTTGATCAAACATCAAATAATTTTTCAGAGTTTATGGGCTATAATTTATGGTTTTCTTTTCACTTTTGTTAGTTTCAGTTTTACGAAGTTTAAAATTCATACATGACTTTTGTCCATTTTTATTCGGTTTGATCTAATGGAAAATAATCTTACAGTGTCTAAAATTCATGATTTCATAAGCTGTAACCCACGATGATTCCCTATTTTTGCTTGTTTCTACCCAATGACAATTAATTTTTCAGAGTTCAAAATTTACAGTGTTATGAGTTATAACAAACAATTTTTGTCCATTGTATTTGTTTCGAGCTAATAGCAAATAATGTTTTGGAGGTCAAAGTTACCTATTTCAGAGCTATATGACACATGATTTTACACATTTTTTTGGTTTCAATTAAATAACAAATAACTTTTCAGAGTTAAAAATTAATGATTTAATGAACTGTAACACAATTTTTGTCTGATTTTTTTCTTATCAACCTAACATCAAATAACTTTTCAGAGTTCAAGGTTAACAATTTCATGATTATAACACATGATTTATGTCCAATTTCATTCATTTTGACCTAATAACAAATATTTTTTTGGAGTTCAATATTAATAATTTCTTGAGTTATAATTCATGATTTTTATTTATTTTCATTTGTTTTGACCTAATAATTTTTTTATAGAGTTCAAAATTCACGATTTCATGAGCTATAACACGTAATTATTTTCATTTTCATTCTTTTATACCCAATGAAAAATCATTTAACGAAGTTTAAATCCATAATTTTATGAACTATGATCACGATTTTTGTCCAATTTTATTCATTTTGATCTAATGTTAAATATCTTTTTAAATGTTAAAATTCACGATTTCATGAGCTATAACACACAAATTTTTTCTAATTTTATTCATATCAAACAAATAGTAAATATTTTTTCGGAGTTCAAAATTAACGAGTTCATGAACTATAGCCCATGATTGTTGTCCAATTTTATTCATTTTGATCCCATGGCAAATAATGTTATAGCGTTTAAATTCATGATCCATGAGCTATGACCCATGATTTTTGTCCATTTTTGCTCATTTTGACCTTATGAAAAAAAATAATTTTATGAAGTTAAAAATTCACATTTAATGAGTTATAACTAGTAATTTTTGTCTATTTTTATTCGTGTAGACCCCATGGATAATAGATTTATGAAGTTTAATATTCATGATCTCATGTACTATATAAACCATGATTATTATCCATTATTCTTCATTTTGATCCAATGATAATTAGTTTTTCATAATTTAAACTTCATGATTTTATGAGCTATAACACACAATTCTTTTTCAATTTCATTCATTTCAACCTAATAGCAAATAATTTTTTGGAGTTTAAAATTAATGACTCCATGAGCTACAACCTATGAATTTTTTATTTTTATTTTTCAATCCAAAGTAAAATATTTATTTAGAGTTTAAAATTCATGATAAAATATTTCGACCAATTAGCAAATAATTTTACAGAGTTCAAAATTCATAATTTCATGAGCTATAACCCATGATTTTGTCCGATTTTGTTCATTTTGATCAAATTTCAAATAAATTTTTAGAGTTTAAAATCCATAATTTTATGAGCTATAAAACATAATTTTGTCCAATTCATTCATTATGACCTAATAGCAAATAAATTTTTAGAGTTAAAATATCATTGTTCAGGCGCTAAAACATATGATGTTTCTCCAATTTTATTCATTTTGACCTAATAGCAAATATATATAATTTTATATAGAATAGCAAATATATATAATAGCAAATATATATGATTTTATGGAGTTTAAGCTTAATAATTTTATGAGCTATGTAACATATATTTTTTTCAAATTTGTTCGTTCTGATTGAATGCTAATAATTTTTTAGAGTTTGAAATTCACAATTCTAGGAGCAATAACCTATAATATTTGTGCAGTTCCATTCATTTAGACCCAATGAAAAATAATTCAATGGAGTCTATAATTCAAGATTTCAAGAGTTATAATTCATTATTTTTTCTTTAGCAAGTAATTTCACATAGGCCAAAAATCACAATTTCGTGTGCTATATCTCTCGATCTTTTGACCACTTTTAGTTGTTTTAATTTTCTGGTAAATAATTTCATGGAGGCTAAAAATCACAATTTCATTAGATATAACCTAAGATTTTTTGTAATTCTTAGTTGTTTCGATCTGTTGGCAAATAATTTCGTGGAGGCCAAAATTCATGATTTTATGAGCAATAGTCTATGATTTTTTCTATTTTTAGTCTTTTCGATTTATTAGCAAATAGTTTCATCAATGTTAGAATTCATAATTTCATGAGCTATAACCTATATTTTTTAGCCATTCTTAGTCATTTCGATTTGTTTGCTAATAGTTTCACACAGGCCAAAGATCAAGATTTTGCGAGCTATAACCTATGATTTTTGACCATTTTTAGTTATTTTAATTTTTGGTAAATAATTTTAGGAGGCTAAAAATCATGATTTAGTAAGCTATAGTTCATGATTTGGCTATTTTTACTCATTTCAACCCATTAGCAAATAATTTCGTAAAGGCTAAACATCACGATTTCGTTAGCTAAAATCTACAATTTTGGTTATTTTTAGTCATTTTAATTGGCAAAGAATTTCATGGAGATTAAAATTCATGATTCCATGAGCTATTATCCATAAATTTTTAGCCATTTTTAGTCGTTTCAACCCATTTACCAATGATGTGTTTTAAATAAAAATGTTTGAAGTGCGCAATATGTGTGTAGCATACAAGTGTCGATCCCATGAGAAATGTGTGATCTAAGAAGGATCCCAGAATGGTTCTTGAATTATGGTAAAAAAAAGAGCATAAAGTTTGGTTAGGTGTTGATTTTACACGAATAAAAAGACTAGAAAAAGAAGAGAGTAAAACCAAGAGAGGAAAGAAAATAAAAGGGTTAAAGAAAATCTACTTATGAAATTGGAAATCTAAGATTGAATAGTTAATTCCTATTTAGATCTTAAAACTAGTCTCTTTCAATTCTCATTTCATTAGATTTCTGATTTCTGAAGTATAGATTATCGAGTTATTTATAATGGCGTCCACCAAGACTCAGGCTATCAGATAATTATCACAATGCAAATCCTTGTAAAGTTTATAATTCATCACATTATCATGTGGGACGGACTAACAAATCAGTATCCTAAAAGTTTATAGGCTCATTAGTCTCATCGTATCAACATGCGGGACGGACTACCAAATCAGGCATCCTAGGTATATGACTCACAAGCCTCATCACACCTCTGTGCGGGATGGACTACTAGATCAAGCATACTAAAACTAGACTCAATGGTCTGTACTAGTGGTATATCAACGCACTTTCCCAAGTAGTACTGAGCGGTGCTTATCAACGATATCCATACATGTATATAATGTTTAAACCCATATCACAAGTGTGGTTAAAAAAATACCTATAATAATCCACTCCAGGATATCTGTGTGTGTGCTACAACACTATTTATGTATGCTCATGATTGTACGTGTATCATTGTGTGGTTCGAACCCCGAACTCATGGTCAAACGATGCAAAAACAACCATTCAAAAACAAAGAGAACACAGGTCAACCGACTGCCCATAGGGCATCGGTCGACAGAACACAAACGTGCACAAAGTGCACTCACAAGATCTCACCGGTCAACCGGCTAGCCTTGGTCGGTTGACTGGCCAGAGAAGATCTCCAAAGATCAGGTTTTGGCATTTGTATTTTTGTATTTTTTTTAAAAAAACTTAATTTTATTAACATGAGGCATATAACAAGATTTAAACTTTCAAATTTGCTTAACATGAATTAACTCAACATGATTTAAACTCTTGAATAAATCTAGTTAGGGTTTAGCATCTCAATTAACCAAAATTTCTCAAATAAAACATAAATTATCAACATGATTAACTAAGCATGATTAGAACTAATCATTGAATAGACATAAAATAATTTAAACACGTTTACATTACTTAGGTATCACAAACCTAGGGTTTATATGTGACGCCCCTGTTTTCATACATGGCTGCAGTCTAAGGTGAACCCAGAGATGTCAAACCTGCCATGCACCTACACCGTGAAATAACACGTTTCAACAATCAAAAGTAATATCCTCTAGTGGAATCAAAAATAAAGTACAGGTACAATACATGAAAAAAGAAGAAAATAAATACAATAAACATGATGTCGAAAGATAAATCTCATAAGTGAACTCATGTCCCAACTGATAAATCTAAAATACATCTGATGACTGAAAAGTGTAACGCCCCGCCCCGGAATCCGAGAGTCGGTACGCTACTAGATCTGATGGACTGGCCTCACAAACCACATGTCTTTTCAGCACGTTTTGTCCTCACTCACGTGCTCCCTGGAAAAATTCCTAGGGAGCACGTGAGTGAGGATAAAACGTGCTGAAAAGACATGTGGTGGTTTGTGAGGCCAGTCCATCAGATCTAGTAGCGTACCGACTCTCGGATTCCGGGGCGGGGCGTTACAAATGGTATCAGAGGCAAGCCAACCGGAATTGTGAGAGCTAAGGGCTGAGTTACCTCTTGAGGTCGTAGGAGCCACCTCTAGAATCTCACACGGATGGTACGGTCTTGGATGATATGATTTGGCGCAACGAGGACGTTGCGAGTTTAAGTG